GGAACATCTTTCTACATCTGATGATGGAACATCTTTCTACAGCTGATGATGGAACATCTTTCTACAGCTGATGGTGGAACATCTTCTACAGCTGACGCTGTGGAAACAGCTCAAATGTTATCATTTATTTAAATGTTAATTATCTATTAGTTCGTTTTATCCTGATGAACTTCTGGTAATTATTTCATGTCAGTGTCTTAAAGCAGCTCAACAAGTGTGTGTTCTGAGGAACGACTGCAGGTTCATCTACACATAAAACAGTGTTTTAGGTTTTAATGGTCATTCTTCACAGGATTTAAAAACCAATCATGTGCTCTGTGACAATGTGCAAAATCAAAGGGAAACGCTTGTGGAGGCTGGAATCATGATCCATGTTGGCGACGTCATGGAAACATGGAGGACATGTTAGTTCCTGGTTTTTACAGTTTTGTAAAATAAATAAAAGACAGAAAGAAATTCAGTTTTAAAAATGATTTCCATGGTTCTAACTGAGTGCTGCTGACAGAAGACGCCTCTGAGTTCTGTCTCCTTCATGTGGTTCTGGTTCCACAGAGCTGCAGGACTTTATGCTGCAGAGGAACATGAACCTCAGTGAAGGAACATGAGACGGAAGATTTAAAGAAAACAAAACAGAAGCACCCACAAACAGCTGCTCGGCCTTTAGAGGGTCTCTGTGTGTTTGACGTATTTGAAGCTGAGAAACAACAGCAGGTGTTCTCGATGATAAAGTGATCATGAACTCTGTTGGCTGTTGATCAGGACGAGTAACGGGAAGAGCACCGTGATCAACGCCATGCTCCGGGACCGAGTGCTGCCCAGCGGCATCGGTCACACCACCAACTGCTTCCTGAGCGTGGAGGGAACCGACGGAGACGAGGCCTTCCTCACCACCGAGGCGTCCGCCGAGAGGAGCAGCGTCGCTGTAACCTGTGCAGTGTTTCTAACATGATTCCTCTGCTGGTCGTGACCCTCTGACTAACCCAACCTTCCTCTGCAGACGGTGAACCAGCTGGCTCATGCGCTCCACATGGATCCAACCCTGGACTCTGGAAGTCTGGTCAAAGTGTTCTGGCCGAAAAGTCGCTGCGCTCTGCTGAGAGACGACCTGGTGCTCATGGACAGGTAACTCCCACCAGGTGCTGTCCAGGGTTTCAGTCAGTTCCTGTGAACATCAGGGCTGCAGGTGGCTCGGTGGTTAGCATCGTGGCCTCACAGCTAGAAGGTCGCCGGTTGGCGTCCCGGTGAGGACACCCGGGATCTTCCTGCGTGGAGTCTCCATGTTCTCCCCGTGCAGCGTGGGTTCTCTCCGGGTTCTCCGGCTTCCTCCCACAGTCCAGAAACATGCTGAGGTTAATTGGTGATTGTAAATTGTCCGTAGGTGTGAATGTGAGTGTGCTTGGTTGTCTGTCTCTAAGTGTAGCCCTGTGATAGACTGGTTACCTGTCCAGGTGAACCTGCCTTCACCCTGAGTCAGCTGGGATAGGCTCCGCCCCCCATGACCCTAGTGAGGGTTAAGGTGTGGAGATGATGGATGGACTGTGAAGCTCAGCCCACAGGGTCTTAATCTGAACCTCCCTCGTTGGGCCTCACATCGCTGAGTGAGGAGAGTTTATCACTCAGGACTATGTTCATCTTTTACCGAAGACGATGTTCAACATGTAAAACGTGGAGGAAACATTAATCAGTGCTCCTCTCTGTTCCCCAGCCCGGGGACAGACGTCACGCTGGAGCTCGACACCTGGATCGATAAGTTCTGTCTGGACGCAGACGTCTTTGTTCTGGTGGGAAACGCCGAGTCGACGCTGATGAACACGGTGAGGATCAACTCGTCTTCCGCCGTCTGCGTCCATCTGCAGCTTTAACGAGCTTCACTGTGTCTGCAGGAAAAACTTTTCTTCCACAAAGTCAGCGAGAGAATCTCCAAACCGAACATCTTCATCCTCCACAACCGCTGGGACGCTTCAGTGATGGAGCCGGAGTACATCGAAGAGGTGGGGAACGAACAGCACCATCACCACACGAGTCGCCACGGCAACGAGCCCACACAGCCGGAGTCGGTGGAACATCACCAGTCAAACCGTTCATAGCTTACTGTTAAACCCTCACGCTTCCATTCTTGTACACATGAAACACCCACAATGCATTCTGGGAGCGCCGCCACGCTGCTTCTCATTTGCATAACGTTCAGGTCTCGTCTGCTTTATTCGAATAAACATAAAAAACCTAAAAGAAAGTGACACTGGGGGTTATTTACTAGGACAGAGTTTTAATGTTGCTGTGTTTTTGTAATTTTATTAATATTTCTGTCAAATAAAGTAGAAATATTAAGTGTAATTAGAGTGTTTTAAATCGTCTATAGTGTGAAATATTGAAGTAAAGCCGTCGGGCATTCTGCAGGACATCAAGCAGTTCTCCTGTTCATTCCTGCTCAACATCCTTCAGCAGGACTGTTTGAGGCTCGGAGCTCTTCACGTACCTCATAAACAATGGTTCAGTTCATTCACTTCATTGATAAAACCTGGACTGCAATGTTCAGAAATATCAGAATTCATCTCGGTTTCTGTTTTTATGTTGACAGTCGAAGGTTTGGCTGCAGTCTGAGCACTGACTCTCATTCATGTGTTTAAAGTTATGTTGGAATAACGTTATGTATAACAACTGAGTTCGTCCTGCGTCCCCCACTGAGGGCCACGCCTAAAAGTCAGATTAGAGGAACTGAACTGAAACAGCGCTCCCTCTGCTGGACAGGTGAGGAAGCAGCACCTGGACCGCTGCATCACGTTCCTCGCCGAGGAGCTGAAGGTGGTCGGGCTGGACGAGGCTGCAGGGAGGATCTTCTTCGTCTCCGCCAAAGAGGTCCTGAGCTCCAGGATGCAGCAGGCGCAGGGCATGCCTGAGACAGGTGAGATGGGTGAGATGGGTGAGACAGGTGAGATGGGTGAGACAGGTGAAATGGGTGAGACAGGTGAGATG